TGTTTAGGATAAGATTTCGGCCCCGTGTGTGGTCCTTGAGTGAAGGCGAATTCTTACTTCTACACGAAGCGTCAAATACTAGGCGTACCTTCGTAGTAGAATTGTTTTTATAAATAATAACATTTTATATTCCCTATTCGGTACTTCTTCAACGATATTTTACAGTAACTATTCCTTAAATATATAGTCATCGTATTATCCTTAATTTAAGAAGCTTTTCAGTAGTAGTCGGACGTTTTTTCGTACGTCTTTAACCAAGGTAGTTTGACAAAAATAGCCACTTTTACCTCTCTGAACGGTTTTCGGAAAATGTTCAAGGGTGGACTGTTCCGTTTCTTCCTTAGTTTTTGTTTCGGTAGAGTCCTTTATACCTATAGTTATTATATGCAATTAATGTACAGGTTTAGGATTCGCAAGACCAGATTGAGCCAGTAAAATCTTCAACAGCAATGAGTTTTTCCGACACTTACTAATCGTGTATTTAAATTACAAGTTTGTTATAAATAGGTTCAAGAAGGGCAAGGTCAACTTATGTTATCCTCAACTTAAGTTTGTGAATGATATTATTATTGGTATGGCATTTTTGCCTTCTTAATTTTAATAAATATTCAACTTTTTATGTAAATTCCATAGTTGCTAATCCATAGTTGCTCCTTAAAAAGAGGGAGTATATAAAGCATTTTCTCTCTCCTTTCTGCATGCCTTGGTGGTTTAACGCGTATTCGAGAGGTCAAGGTTCGGGGTCCCGGCAAGGGCAATGCTCATTTTTTATATCTCATGCTTAAAAATAACCTAATGACCCTACAAGACTTTCTCTTCAGTAGATTTCCAACCTAGTTTATTTAAAAATGTAGGAATGTTGTGAGCGAGTGTCAGTGAATATGCGTAATCGTCGCTTCTTCCCTTCTGCCTTCAGTTTCATTTGTAGCGTTTGAAGCACTATTTCATCAGAAATACATAAGTTACACGAACTAACGTCAGACAATTTTTGGTTGAAAGTGAGTAATTGTTTTGTATGAATTATTTTTGTAATTGGAGTATATGTCAACAGTTGCGAAAATAATGATTGGATAATTACTTCTGTGGAAACGGAGTGTATGTTACAACCGACAGTTTCAAAGTGAATAATTTGAATAATTCTTGCACTTTATTGGAATCCAACTATTTGCTGACTATTCTGATTAACTTTTATTTCAACTATTCTCTGATTTCATTTTCTGAAAATGAGCAAATTGAGGGAGCAAATAAAAAGTATAATCTGAATAAATGATTGATTGAAATGAAAAATAATGCTTCATTCAAGACGAGGACTTTGTGGCTGAACACATAAAGCGCTTTCAGACGAAGGCTTTTTGATCACAGGCGTTTCATGGCTTAAGTCATTAAGTCCCTTCACACCTGCTTAGCAGAGCTTAAGTTCTAGCCCATTAGAGAAGATAAAATTGCGCATGTGTAAATCTACAGCTGCCTTAGAAAAACTGTTAGTTGGTATTTTCGTTTCTGGGATTGTTCGATTCTTATATCAAGTTGGCGTAAAGTTGAAAAGTTAGAACACTTAAACAAAATCCTGAATCCAGTTTTTGTGACATAGCAAGGTCTGGTTGCCTCAAACGAAGTCCGGCTTGTATTTCTAATGCCAACAAAATCCCCATCTGAAAGGAAAAGGAGAGGATTTACTGTACTTTTATAAAAGAAGTTTTGTATTAACATGCTCAATTATTTACGTTTAATATTTGTAACCAATCTTAGTACCGATCATATTATACCCATGCCAGGGCATGCGGGGGGGGAACTTAGATTCGGTTTACAGTTAGATTCAGCGTCCTGACGATGACACCCACTCTTTGGATTTTGTATAAATTCTGGCATGAAAAATCTCTTCTGCATTTTTCACAAATTTAATTTTTACTTATCACATTCTATTACTTATCACATATTAACTACATTCTTGATTGCAGAGAATATGAGATATATACTGACGGCTCTGGGCTAAACCAGGGGATGGGCTCAACCTTTGTTGTTTATTACTTATGGACTAGAAATTTATTCTGCAAAAAGGGTAAGACCAAGCTGGCGAAATGTTTCTTTTCTATGTTTTGAAATGGATAAAAGATTAAGACTTTGCTCAGTCTCATGAATTTTATATATTTTCTGGCTCTATGTCTTTTTTTGAAAGATATAAAACATCTGATAATATGAATTTGCTTGTTAATGATTTCAAAATGTTATATTTAGATTTTTGTCTCATACATCGTATCAATTTAGGGCGGATAAAAGCTCACGTGGGATATAAGGACAACGAAAGGGAGGATGCCTTTATAAAGAAGGCTGCTCGGGAGATTTATCGGGAACTCCTTGTATCCAAGGTTCCAAAAAGATCGGTATTAGAACGATTTATAACTTTTGTGTGGATTCGTGGTCTCAGAACTGGTTTAAGTCGATTAAATGGACAAAATACTTAAGGACATTGGAAGTGTCTCGTAAGAAAAATCTTACTATGTTGAAGGATGTTGATACAAACTAATTTCCTACTGGACACGGCCGCTTCCCGGACTGTTTGTCCGATTCCATATTCAAGTGAATAATTTATGTACTGTTTGTGGAGAGGTGGGGGACGCACAGTATTTCTTTGAAAAATCTTCAATTTTTAACGATTATAGGAAACAGGTCAACATATTTTAATTTTTCTTAAAATAACTTTGAAGATTTATATAAACTATGCATGAAGGGCAATAGGCGTGCAGGTTTGAGATTTGGCTTTTTATATTGGTGATTGGTGTGTTTCTTTGTTTCGGTTTTGCAACCTTTAATCTGGTGTTAATGTATGAATTGCGTTTGTCCTTTCCTTAATCCTTAGTTTTTAATAATATAGCATTATTTTCAGTTAGCTATATTATTTTCTCTGCTTTCCTTTTTTTGTATCCACTGTTTTAATTTAATGTATTTGTATTGTATTTGGGTTTGGTTGATTGTATTATTATTGCTTTTATGATTTCTTTCATGCTATCATTTTAGTTACTGGGATCCGATTTTTGGTTTCTCTGTCGCTTATTACTAGCGAGAGCGTGGACACAGTTGGGTCGCAGGGTGGCCTAGTTTGAGCTTGGATTGGAAGGGGCCTCCATGTCATAACATCGTCCTAAAGACGGTTAGGTGGGCAGGACCTTGCCTCCCGGAAATAGTACAGATGCCTTTTGTAGTGGATTGGATTGAAACTTAGATGGAAATCAATGAAAATCTATGAAGTCGCCGTTGATCCTCTGTGAATTTGAAGCATTGCAATCATTTGAGATCTACTAAAGAATAATCGTGAAATCCGTCTATTATGAGAAAAGTTTTCTGCAGTAATTGCTAAGGAGTCCGAATAATAAATGCATTAAAAAGACACATTATATAAAGATACGTATTTGATGTAATGTAATTAACTAATTAATTAACGTAACGTAATTTGTAATTTGACGCAAATGTAAATTAGTCGGGTTACAAAACTGGCTGTTTCGAAGGGCTTGGAAAGTCCTTGTATACAGTCAATGAAAGACAATTTGAGACAGCAAAATTATTCGGTGTAAATACAATGCATAAAGCAGAGTATCGGGATGAAAAAACATTGGAGGACCACAGACTTCCAAAATCAAACTGAGCAACCAAAAGATAATGTGAAATTTATTCTGTGTTCTAGTACACATTGTGCAATAAAATAAATCCTTATAAACGGGTTTTCAGTCACACATATTCTTAGAGTATAACAGTAGCAGCCATACTATATGACGTATTCAATTTAGCTGGAATAAAAAAAGACGTTTTTCACGATTCAATTGATGATATGTCTAGTTTACTGCAAGAATAACACTAGTGTTCAGTATTTTGTTAAAAAGATCTTTATGCTAAATGTATTCTGAGTGCCTATCCTGTTTTCCACATGCTTCTTTTAGCATTAACTGAATTTTAAATAAAATCAACTTTAACTCGGCATTAAATTCAAATGACACAGCTTAATACTTTGTGAGACTAGTTTTCACTTTGTGGAATTAAGTTTTTGGTAAAATAAGACTTTGATGGACCACGAATGGCAGTCTTCGATTTGCCAGTAGAAAACTGTCATTAAATATAAAGGTTTAAGCATGTAAAAATTTCTGTCCTAAAAAATCATATCTAAAAAGAAATGGTTTAAAATTGAGCAAAAAAGGAATCTTGCATTGGCGTTGATTTTAACAAAACTGAATCGATTTCGAGGGTGGTTAGATATAGATCCTTCTTTTTTTAAAAAGGGGAAAAAGTTCCAAAGAAGAGTGCTGTGATAAACATTTTATATGGAATTCAGGAGACAGATCAAATTAAAAATAAACTCAGCGCCATTTGTAGAGGAAAACGCAAATGAAAGAGCTAAACTATTATAATTTTGAAAGCGCAGGAAAGATCTTGATTGGAAATAATGTCATTAACTAAAACAGATTCATTTTTTGTGAGTGCAAAAGGCTTCAGTGAAATCCAGTACGCCAGTTGAAGAAGCCATAAGCGGGCACTGGTTTCCGTGCATGTTCCAAGAGAATAAAAATGTTGTATTTTGCTATCATAAATTCCCATTTTCTTGCCTAATATTCAGTGTTTAAAAGCATTTTCAAAGTATTCACTTGTGCATCTCAGAACTCAAACAACATTATTCTTCGCATTAAATAACTCATATTCCCATCTGCACAAACGAAATGATAAATTGACATTGGGAAACAACATATCCTAATGTAAGCTTAATGTTTCTTCTTCTCTACACTGTTTCTATTATTTTAACATTTAAAGGTTCTTTGACGATATTTTTTTGATTGCTTACAATAAAATAAAATGTTTCAAGAATTATTTTTCAAGAGATTCAGTCATTAATGCTAAAAGGTACAATGAATTTATTTAATTAATATTTGAGAAACGAGGTATGTATAATATATTAATGCATAAAATTAGAATGAAGTTTTTGTACCCATAAGAAATAAAAAATAAAACACAAAGCATTTTTTTTTCAATCTATATGTATTTATTTCACATGTCATTTTTTAATTACATATATAATTTTATAGCTTACATTAATTAGGTGGTATAATTAAACATTGCTAAGAATTTCAGCACCTACAGCAGTAGAATAGGATTATCCTAGTTATTTAGCACTTCAAATTACTAGGCCCCATTTAAACTAAACCTTCTATCAGTGCTCCTCCTCCACTTCCACCTCCTCCCCCACTACCTCCATTACCTCCAAGAATATTTACTCCGATTCCTGAACCTATCAGCTCGCCTGTTCCAGAGCCATTACCGCCTCCAGCTCCACCATCACCTCCACTACCTCCGTTGCCTGAAAGCGCATTTGTTACTTCTTTTGCACTTCCTCCTCCTCCACCAACACCCCGTCTATGACCCGAAAGCTCTTTTCCTACTCCCTTTGAACTTCCTCCTCCATTACCACCACCACCACCACCACCACTTCCTCCCCCTCCGTTTCCTCCAAGAACATTTACTCCCATTCCTAAGCCAAATAGTCCACCAGATCCTGAGCCGTTACCCCCTCCAGATCCTCCACTACCTGCGCTACCTCCATTGCCGGCTCCTGTTCCTTTAACGCTGCCGCCACGTCCACCGCCTCCTCCTCCACCACCTGCACCCCCATTACCTCCAAGTATATTTAATCCTATTCCCAAGCCAAGTAGACCTCCGGATCCTGATCCATTACCCCCTCCAGCTCCACCTCCACCACCAGTGCCGCCTTGTCCTCCTCTACCATATCCCCATCTAGATCCAACTTCGTGTCCGCCTCCTGAACCATACACATACCCACTACCTGAACCATATCCATACCCACTTCCTGAACCATATCCATACCCGCTACCTGAGCCAAATCCATACCCACTTCCTGAACCATATCCATACCCGCTACCTGAGCCAAATCCATATCCTTTACCTGATCCAAATCCATATCCACTTCCCGATCCAAATCCGAAACCACTCCCATACCCATAATCATATCCATAATCGTTTTCTGTCCCGGGATAATATTCGTAGTAATATGGATCATCGTAGTTGTATGCATATGATGCAGCATGCGAACTTGATACGGCATGGGCACTACTATCTGATGACGAGCTTGATGAACTAGACGCGAAAGCACTCCCAGTGCCTGTATTACCTCTAACCGAACCACTCGAACTTTCAGCTCCTGCCGTAGCAGCCGCATTGCTTCTACCTCCTGCGCCGGCACCTGTCTCACTTCTAGCACCTGCTCCACTACCTGATCCTAAACCAGATTCAGAACCATATCCGTATCCATTCCCTGAAAAATATCCATAACCACTTTCAGAACCAGCACCAGCAGCACTTCCAGCTCCTGAGGCGGCACCAGACCTACTTCTAGCTGAGCCATATGCAGATGCACTTCCTGAACCGAATGCAGCAACACTTCCGGAACCATACCCAAATCCATTACTACTTCCAGAACCATATCCGAATCCGTTCCCTGAACCGGATGCGAAATTACTTCCCGATGCAGCTGCAGCTTCTGCTCCAGCATAAGCACTGCTTCCAGCTCCTCCTGCGCCAGCATAAGCACTGCTTCCAGCTTCTGCGCCTGCTCCTGATGCAGACCCGCTTCCCAATCCATTTCCAAATCCTTATAAAGAAATAAACATTTCCATTCATACTGAATATTTGTTTTCAAAATTAATAGTAATAAAGTTAATCGTTTACATAAATCATGAAATTAGAATTAATTCTAGCATTTATGTTCTTCTTTACTGTATTACACTATTTTGCTTACAGTTATTCTGTTGGAATGAAATCAATTGTTAAAAGGATAAGAGAGTTATATTCAAGAAGATTATAATTTAATTGTATGCAGATGTTGGACATTTAAATCCCTGTCAATTTGTACCTCAAGGATTAACTCTAACATAACCAGCATTTTATTATATTTATGAGTAATTCAGATATAGGAGAAAAGCAATTCAGTATCCTATATTGAACACAATACTGCTACAAGAGCATTATACACAGGGTTATTCAAAACAAGAGGAGCAGACTTCTAGGAGGACCTCAACATAATTTCATGGAATAATAGAAGTGATAATATGAAAAGGCTAGTGGCTTAAATACCAAAAGCCAAACATTTGTAATTAAATAAATAAACAAAAATAAATACTGAATACCTGTCCCTTTGTTTTATTTTTAATCATATAATCGACAGTATTTTATTATCTAGAAATTATTTTTTACTTTAAGTATTTAACTAAAACTATGTAACTTTTTCAGTGTAGTTTATATGAACGAGATAATAAAAATGTTTTACTAATTCAGTTCACTGTTATTAATGAAATATGTCACCAAATTTCTATTTCTTTTTCCAGAATTATATATAAAATGTTTTGATTGAATATGATTAAATGAGTTTTTCAATTGTACTCTTTTATATATCCTAATATAACTTAGCAGAATATTGTTTACCTTTAACAAATTATATCTAGAGGAAATTAAGTTTTGAAGAAAGATAAACAACGAGATCAGTGGTTTCATTTTATGCTTTATGCATCTATTTATATGAAAATGGAATCTAGCTATTGAATTTATGATTTGTATATGAATTGAAAAATAGCATATTGATAAAACTTTTCAGGATATTACAAACTGATATGTTGTAATAAGGATATTAGTATGTTAATCATACTTCTGTAGAGAAAAAGGCAATTTATAATTACTAGGCTACGTATCCGAATGTTTTTATTATGATATGGTTTTACCAAACTACGGCTGTTTGGTTCGTTAAATATGGCTTAGGTCGAGCAAATGCCAGTTCTCATTTATGAAATATTATTCCAAATGAAACAGAAATCGTGAAACGATACAAACTTAAAACAGTTTTACATTTTAAGTTATATGTATGGACATTTTAAACACTTTCAAAGAGCGTCATTTCTGCACTTTCCGGCCGTGGCGGTACTGTTTTTGGAATAGATTAAAGACTTTCTAAAATACAAACACATTAGCACCAGGCAATGTTAATGATATAGCTAAAAATGTTATTGAATGGCTCTACGTCTATGTTTAGTTGTAATTGCAAGAAGCAAAACATATCAGATGATCCAATCCGCATTTAAAGAATTAAATGAGAATATCATATGGCCATAAAAATAAGTCTAGACTTTCCCTGATGATAAAAGTCTCCGATATTTCGAAACGTAAGGCAGAGAACCTCGGGCGTTTTGAAACGAACATATTCCTGACTACCGCGAAAGTCTAGAGGATGCCCGGCGTATTTCAAAACGTCCGATTCAAAGTTTCCATTCTAATTGGCTGTCAACGGTGTTGTAACAGGGCCTAATATTTCCTCTATCTCCTTAAGATTGTATTTCCGACTCTGCGTTGCTATGGGATTCAATGTCGTATAGGTGTAGCTTACCCCTCTTAGAAGTTTGTTACTCTAGTTTTGAATTACCCTGTGTAACTTAACTCGTTTAGCAAATTCAGCCCATGAGGAAATTTAACGATAGCATTAAAATAGAGAATTCGAAACTGGTGGAATGGATGCAAGATGTTAGCTGTTATTATCATGGAGGTAGGAAGTAAGATGGAGTCGCCCTGAACAAGATTCTCCGTACCCTGCTCTGAAGCACCGGCGATCCCTACGTGGTGACCAAAACATTGGGTCATTTACCATTGAGTTCTATGGGATTTGACGCGTTCGGGTGTAAATATTTTGTAATTACGTCGCAAATATACATATAAATGTATATATTTTCTTTTCTACAACACTTCAGAGTCCTAAGTATGTGAAAAAAAACATATTTTTAAACAACATTTCATTCTGAACGGAATTAAATGCTATACTTTTCACAGGACAGTTTTTCTCAGAATGGTTTAATTTGAATGAATATTTTCACAAAGTTTTCGTTAATTACATTAGAAAAAAAATTAAGGTAATTCGATTTTATTCGGTTAAGGTACAAAAATTAAGATCAAAGTTTATTGATTATTAATATTAAAATTATGCATTATTTCTTTTCTATTTATAGAGCTTCTTCCTAAAATACTTTCTTAAATATGACATGATTTTTTGGCTTCTTTTAAATCGAAAAATGTAAGTCAATTTATAATTAATGCTCTATTCGGTTCATTTTAAATTAGAGAATTATTAGGAATTAGCGAAATACTTTAAATAAGTATTTCGCTAATTCATAATAATTAAATAGGTATTAAATAGTATTTGACTTTCTCTGAACATTTCTGAAAAGGAATAAAATAAGTTGGTTTTTTTTTTTTTTTTTTTTTTTTTTTTTTTTTTGTTTCTGTAAGTATTATTTAAAACTTGTAACTGAGTTATTATAAAATGTAAAGGGAATAATTCTTTTAATTATACTTATCAGATTTTTTTTACCCTTCATTTCAACAATACATATTCCAAAACTCTTTATTACGTTCTTAAGTGCGCATCTCATAGCATTTGCTTTACAATACCTTTAACAGATTGCTTTCCAATACGAACAATTCTTGCTTAAATAGTTTTATAACGTATTTGTCAACAGGATTTCAATTTATGTTTACAATTCAATATTAAGGTTATTATATATTTAGATAACATTTATAATCATTATAAATTAGATACATTTAATCATTAGATTTCTCACAGTACTTTCACAGTTGTTTATAAGTGAATAAATTCTTCATTTCAAATACATTTATAAATAATTTAATGAATATTTAAGTATTTTGTCAAAGGCAGATACATGCTTTTTGCAAGCACATGCATAAATACCCATACATATTTCCTATTTATCATTTCCGGCATGTGCAAATCTTTAATTTCTATGCATTCACTATATTTTTCGTGTAAAGTAATTTACACTAATTTACATCTAATTAAAGTAATTTACATCTAACTACACCCGAAAGTTTTACATAAAATATATATGAATATAATTTGAATGAAAATTATAAGTATTATTTTTAATACCCACTCAAAGGTCAGTTTTTCTCAAAATTCCTCCACGATGGCATCTCTCTCTTTAGGCAGATAGCCCTTGCATGCGTTACTCTATTTAATAAAAACTTAATCTGACCTATGTGCCTAATTACAATATTTAACATACATAATTTTATATTTACATTTAGCCATCAAGTTTCAAACTTTTCAAATCTTCTAGAAAATAAATTTTTGCAGATCTCTTTTAGCAATTTTCTTAAATCTATATTTTGTAGTGCAACAGCTTAGAATTTATGAAACAAATCATAATCAAAATCGCTGTTGTTAGCTATCGAAAAAATAACCAAGATGTGATTTTTGCGTAAATGTCAGTAAACTATACAAATTGCTATTATCCATCACACAAGTAATGTTTCTTTCATGCGAGAGTGTCCCTTTTTCGATTTCTATGGAACTGTCGTGTGTCGAAATACTATCAGAATCTTGTCAAGTGAGCTTCTGAATGTAAACAAAGAACACCCCGTCTGGTGACCCAAGCTTCAAAGCAGTGCTTCACTTCTAGCGCGAAATGGCCCCTCCTCCCTTTCCTACCTCCATGGTTATTATGGTTACCAACCCTGACAGCCGTAGCAATGGGTCCGAGTTTGAATCCCGGAGAAGGCGTGGCTGTAACTGTCCGTCCCTTCATAGGAGACAACGGTGGTTACCTATCAGGGTGACCTTCCATAATGAAGTAGCCAACAATTCCGTCCCTTGTTGTGGCGCAAATGTAATGGCTATTAAACAAAGCACCCGGTCATTAAAAAAGTGTTAAATAAAAGCGTCGTAATAGAACCACCGGACACATTGATGTGTCTAATAAAATACTTTATTTTAAAAAAATGGAAAATAGTATTACATACTGAATGTTCCGATTTAAGAATGAAAAATAATTTCTAGCATATATCATCCACAACTTTTTCTATAGCACCGTATTCTCTCGATGAAATTCGTAATTACTTTCTCACGCATATACCTGTTGACATGACCGAGGACATGTTCAATTGTCTTCAAATTCTTTTATTTTTGCTATTTATGTTCAGATTCTTTGGGACTTGTAATTATACTGTCATGTAAAACTGCAACGTTTTCAACAAACCGGATTGATCGAAAGCATCGGGATTATAATCTGCATTGGAAACTGTATCCTCAGGTTTCTTTACCAGTCTGCGAGTTAGGTGCATTTTCGCGTCAAAAAACTGCACGAAACTTCCTAACAGAAATTCGTTAAAAAATTTTCAGTAAATAAGCACCAACTAGAATACCCACGATACGCTCTACTACTTTTACAATTATGCTTGTCTGTGTGTCTGTATGTGTGTGACAATTTTTTCATCCCCGATAACTTTTATATAAAACTTCCAAAAATTTTTAGTTTTCGTGTTTAGGCTTTCTGCGTTCACAAAAAAAGAGTTGATTAGACTTTGGGTAAAAACTGAACAACCGGAAATGATATTTTACAGAAAGCTTGAAACAGGGAAGTGATACTTACTTGATGCTTATATCAGTTTTTAACGAAACGCTATATTAAAATATAATCCAAATTTTTTAATATTAGTATTTAAAACTTTTATACCAATGGGAAAACATATTAAATTTGGGATAAAATTGATAAAATGGAAGTGAGACTTTACTTGATGCTCTGAACAACTTTTCTTAAAAAAGTACACTGGTGTGCAAAAATTAAGGACGAAGTCGAAAAATTTAGCATATCAGCTGAACGAAGAGGCAGAGCGAACAGAAAGACCAATCAGGAGATTAAGTAAGGTAATGTACGGTAGATTAAGTAAGGTAATGTACGTAATGGGGGAGTGTCTGAGTAGTATAAAGCATGTTGTCGGTGTAAGATCAGTATTTCTGGCAAAGAGATTGCACGCCATATAGCAGTTAAAATCACACCGAGTTGCTGCCTCAGCGAGAAATGGCGAATAATTAATCTGTTAGACGACGTCTGGATGCTTTTACCCGAGGTCGAATCATTGGGAAGTTGGAGGAAGGCCACAGTGTGACAAGTGAGCTGCAGAGTTCGGAATTGCTCACAGCATCGTTTCACGACTTTGGAGACAATTTCAAACTACAGGAACAGCTATCCGGGGGTTTAGTAGTGGCCATCCACGAGGAACCACACCCGCAGATGACCGGTATATTGCCTTACAGGCCAGAAGAAACAGGCGGCAGACAGCGGGAGAAATCGCTAGACACACGACACAGGCCACTGGACGACCGATATCGCGTTTTACCGTGGCCAGAAGACTGCACGGTGGTGGTCTGTTTGCACGACGCCCTGTACGGTGTGTACCTCTAACGCCTGCCCATCGAAGAAGGCGTTCTCTGTGGTGCCGGGAACACCGGAATTGGAGAGACAATGAATGGGTACGAGTACTCTTTACAGATGAGAGCAGATTCAGTCTGAGTAGCGATTCTCATCGCATACTCATCTGGAGAGAGCGGGGAAGCCGCAATCATCCTCGAACATCATTGAAAGAGACAGGTATGGAGGTGGCGGTGTTCTCGTTTGGGGAGGCATCATGCTTGGTAGTCATACAGACCTTCACATCTTCGACGCAGGTTCAGTCAACGGGACCCGTTATTGTAACGAGATTCTTCTTCGATATGTGCGTCTTTTTAGAGGCGCTATGGGTCCGCAGTTCCTTTTCATGGACGACAATGCACCATGTCATCGCACAGTAGCTACCGAACAGCTCTTAGAGAGTGAGGATATTGAACATATGGATTGGCCGGCACGATCTACGGATCTCAATCCCATCGAGCATGTGTGGATTTTCTAGGCAGACGCTTGGCAGCTCGTACCTTACCACCAGTAACGATTCCGGAGCTGCGATTGGCGCTACAAGACGAATGGGCAGCAATGCCTCAACAACTCATTGACACCCTCATTCTCAGCATGGGCAGACGCTGTGAAACCTGCCTAGCCAGTCAGGGGAGATCATATCCCCTATTATTAAAGACCGGATGTTTCTTGCTGGACACCCATCGCAGGGATGTTTCGGCCTTCAGTCGCATTGCACTCCATGCTACGTTTTCAATAAAGCTTCTTTTTATCCTTCTGATTTCTCTTTTAGTAAGTGTTGCTTACATTACTCGTGTCCTTACGTATTGGGGATCTTACGGTATTAAATGTGTTGATTTGGAAAGCTTTTGTACAAAGTTATATTGAAAAAACCGTCCCGTCCTTAATTTTTGCACACCAGTGTATATTATAAATCAAAACTTCTCAAACTTGGTCCTTAAACTAGGTATGTGATTGAGAATACCATATTACATTTATAAGCATTAAACGTATTCTTGGAATTACGCTAAACGCAACATCTTCATAAGCTCATTATGAAACTCATTATTATGAAGACGAAACAATCAAATGCATTTGCCTCATTCATCTATTTTGTGCTCGTTTCACTTTTCTGTCGAATCACTTTTTAAGTAAAAGGATACTGCCACCAAATGTTATAACTTAATATTATTTTTAAAGAAATAATATAGCAAATATAAATAATATAGAGAATGTAAAAAAATGTATGGCAACAATTAGCCCTGCGGAATTCTAAAGGTATGCTGAATTTTAAAGATTTTTGTGATTACATTGTTAAATTTTATGTGGCGTAAGTGAGATGAAAGTGACGTTTTATAAATAAAGCTGAAATGACCGATAAAAATGATGTTCATCTTATTAAGAAAACTGAACATCGAAATTATAAAGTAAGTAAAGACTAGAAAAGAAGCATATGACAGCGCTTAATACACTGTCGCGAATTCTAAGATACTAATAAGTACCCGATTCTCTAACGAATTAAATAAGCGAACGCATGGAACTCGCTATGGTATGAACTGCATGGGATAATAATGGGAGAATAGAAATATAGGGATTTAATTTCAACTTTACTTTATTAAATGGTATTACGACAATTCAATATTTTGCGCAATAACATTTAATCAGTCGATTTTAAGTAGAAAAAGAATGTAATTTTTTCTCACCTGCTATACATTGCCCATTCAAGCATTGCTGTAAAACAACAAAGAATAGTAATTAATATTTTAATACAACTTAACATTTTATACAAATAATTTTGTAATCATTTTTTATTTTTAATCTATGTAGGATGCAAGTCTAATTTAATATTAGAAAGAAAGGAAGTCATAATTACTGTAATATACTTTTAAGACTTATTTAAATTTTATTTGGTACTCGCTTCAAAATTAACTCGACTGAAGTTGAAGACGATACGTAAAGCAAAACATATAAACTTGATATTATTACCAAAATATATAAGGAATAATTTTATTCTCCATTGAGTGCCTATGAGATGTAGGTGGTCGCATGATCAGCTAGTAGTCGAAAGATCTAGTATTCGAATCCCGGTGACGGTATAGCTGATCTTTAACATTCCTGGCTTGGAATATTTTTTAAATTCTAAAATTCTACAGTAACGCCTAACAAAAAAGGAGATGGCGGATGAACAATAATTCGTCCCCACGTGGATTTTACTGACTAGGTCCCGTTTTCTTGTCACCAGTAATATTTTAAGTAAATGAGAATATAAATAATTTTCCTCTTCCACCCTGCATATTCTCATTGCGAAAGTGGTAGAACACTAGGCTAACAGTCGGAAGTTCTGGTGTTCCAGTTCTGATCTCAAGCTGCTTTCTTCGGCTTCTGAAATTCTAAAGTTCTACAAAGCGAAAAGAAGAACGTTTAACGGTATTTGGTATTCTTCTCGAGAACAGTACCAAATACCAGAAGACAGTTAAAAGATAACTTTAGGAAAACTTGAGGCTTGTATCATTATCGATTAAAACCCGTTTCAATCTCATACCTAATATGCACTACACAAGTACTTTTAGAACTGAAGACCCATTTAATTCATTATCAGGAAGCTGTATGTCTTAAGACACATACAGCCAACCAAAACGGTATAGTGGTTAGAGACTCTGACTGTAACGAAGGGACCGAGCTCGATTATCGGAGAAGGCATAGATGTCTGTAAATGTCCAGAGGCTGTGCAGCATGGGAGCACTCAAAATACATGGCGAGCGGAAAGTGTTCTCAAGTGGTTTGGTGGTGAGGAGAGAAAATCTTCGGAACCATTCCTCGTGATGCCCTTCAAAACTGAGATGGAACTGAGCAAAGTCGTACTGTCACCTGCAGGGTGCTCAAGGAAACGCCAGATTAAATTCGCTTGTTTTGATTTGGTCAGACAAGTGAGATTAGCCACAACAACAAGAAATAGGTTTTCGTTGCTGATGTTGTAATAAATAGCTGGATACTTGCAGTTTAAAGCATCTTTCGAGAATGACCGATATCCCTCTGCCATTTAGCCGTTTCATCACCAAGACTACCCAAGGTACCATGCAAGAGCTACCGATGAGAGAACATGGCTGTTCTATCCTCAATTTAATGAAAAACACCCAGAATCCAAGAGTCTCCTACGCCTCTTCCGCTACTACAAAATCTCTCGAGAGGACTGTTTTATATTATTTTATATGCTTAATGCCGCATAGATTCTATACACTTACAAACATCCAAGCCTTCCCCGAGATTCGAACACGGACACAAAATTATGACATCCAGCAGCTCGTACCGCCGGACCGTTCAGGGCAGCCATTATAAGATATGCTTCAGTATACGTAAAATGCGTTTGAATGGAGAAAATGCTTAAAAGTGTTTTTATTAAATAGGCTTCAATTTTAAATTCATAAAATAATTAATGAACTAAAAGAAAAAATACATACATAAATGCATCATATAGTTAAATGGTAAGAAGAGATTAAGTAATTCTGTCTACAAAACTCATCTATAATTTTTTATTTCGAATTGAATCTAAAGATGTCTCAACCAACCTTGTTAAAAGTTCAAGAATTTATCCTAAGTATACATGGAATATCAGCTAAAGATGTTTTAATGTTGTTGAAACCAGTCTTGTCTTGTAACTAGCGATAATAACGCCAAACGATAATACGCACTTTGTTAAAATTATATGAAAGAATGAATGATGACTTTTCTCCCGTTTTCCATCTTGAAACGAAAAGGAAAGTAGGTTGCTATAAATTAAGAAGTTCTCCGAGTAAATTATTCGTGGTGAAAACTGAAAATGCCCTAAAGATAAGTTTTTCAAGATAAATTTTTTAATTTCTCCGTAAATTTCGCACCAAATTTTACAAAATTTAATATAATTTGAGTCGTAGAATCGAAATATGGAAAAATATTGACATGTCATTTCAGAGAAAGTTTGATTTTGTGTCAAAGCACCCAAATTAGAATGATGCTACATGTAAATCTAATACATACCCTTAGGCGTACATTCGAGACATGAAAAACGCAAGTTCAATGTCGTCAATCAGCAGAATAGAATGGGAGATATAAAACTTTTCCCCTTTTTTCATTTTAGTTTGGTGTATCTTTGTGTTTGCCGTAGTTATTCTCCTACTACCTCTAGTTATATTTTTTATTTACATGATTTTTTTGTTACTCCAAAACAAATGTTACCAACTAACTGGTGAATCTTAAATTGTATAGAAACTGAATTTTTATTTCACTATGTCAAAGTATTATTTTTAATAAATCCTGGATGCAAGGGCATACAGAGTAATTGCATGATTTATTTATGGCAGCTAAACTCTGGACACTTTGGAAAGCTTGAAACTTTTGTTTCCTGGGCTGAACTCATTTTTACTTGTTTTTAAAACATAAAATATTTTAAAGACAACATAGGAAGGCATTAAGAGTTGACCTGTGGTACGAAGCTGGTGTTCCCAACTTTTACCTGTACTTCTATAAGGAAAAATTACAGAATGTTTTTATTATTTAGAAAAAGTATTCGAATTTGCACACTCATGACACAAGTTCGTCCTAAGTGAAAGAGATGGTATTGTACGTTTTCAAACAAATGGCAGTAAAGTAGAGAATGTTTTGCAAATAAATTAACAATTTTTCAATAAATGTTAATCTTCTCTTTGCATTGGGGGGCTTAACGGGATGCTCTAGCATTTAAAAAAAAAAGTCAGATTCTAATTACGCAACCTAGAAATTGTGTCTTCTCATGGGTTCTTGAATTCTTGTGTTTAGCAGGTATTCGTCCCTTAAACCATGTTTTAGCTTTTTGAATGCGATTTTGACTCTTAAAACAGAATTTTAAATAACCTAGGCTACCATCAACTTTTGTCGAAAACGCCCTCCAAAGAAAAATCGTATAAAGAAAATAGACAATTTTGTTTTCCCTAGATTGCACAAGGCGTGGAAAGTTATCTTTTATGGTATATTTAAATTAAAATCTTTTTTAAATTGGTAGCAAGAGTTCAGATTTTATAAGAAAAAGGATGTAAAATATTGTTTGCAATCATTTTGGATCGTCTTTTTTATGTAGATATGTAATTTATAACTGTGTTTTTTCCGTTAGACATTATATATTTGAAATAAAAGTGCTTCTTGGAATATAAATTTGAAGTATAGTTCGTTGAAATTTTTTCTAAGTAAGCTTGGCTCCAATTAGAATTTTTGGAATAAAAAAGATAAGTGAAAGCTTTTATCTTAATTTAGAAATTTGATCGAAAGAGTGACAAAAAAATTGTAGTTTCTTTTTATTATTTTAGGTTTTTAAAATGGCATCCTTGTCAAGCTTAAATAATTAAAGAATTGATTTTAGAATAAATAATTAGTACTATTGAAATCGAAACTAGAAATGATTTTGAAAAAACTTGAATATCGAACTTGTGTTTATTTTATCAATGAGAAACGTTAAAGCTTAGAATATTGAAGAATTTATATTTGAATTGAATGGAATTGATAAAGTGAACTGTGTTCTGTATACGTTTGAACAGATTGGCATTTATTGAAAATTTTATATTCTGAACTTAATTTGATTTGATATTGACTGCACTCTCGGAAATTTATACATGTGTTAAAATATGACCGAACCACAATCACATGAGTTGTTAAATGGTTGAGAACAGCTCCTACAAAGGTAGTTAATGATTTAAAAGCTGAATCATCAAACATAGATTTGAATGCTGGAAAGATAGTTGAGCTTATAGAAATTCTTTCCATTAAATTTGAGCCTCTAAGCTTTTTTTGATGAACAACTTGAACCGCTTTTGAAGACTGTGGAATTTGATATCGAATCGAAATTACACAAGAACATAGAGAAAAGATATTACTTTGTCAATTTCATGAGAAACGAAAATCCAAGAGTTTTCAAAAGCTCATGTCGTGACAACCTATGGGTTTACAACGACCCCTCGATTAAAGCAAATTTCGAACTCAGGTAGCCTTTGTATTGACGTCCCAAAACACTATATTGCCTGATCCTTTGAAATGGCGGCTCAAAATAGCTTTCCTTTTGGAATAGTTTCGAAATAGCTTGTACACAGTAAGGAATCCCTGAATAAGGTAGATAAATTTAGTTATTTAAAGTTTCATTTGGAAGGATCTGCTTTGGACACTGTAGAGGGGAAGCTATACAATTATAGCGATAATAATACAATTAATGAAGATAATAATGTATACCTTTATCGTAATAAAGCTGTATATAACTTCATTACGATAAAGCTATATAATTATTACGATAAAGCTATACAATTATTAAAGGACAGATTTATCAGTCCTGAGACAGTGATTCAAGCACATGCGAACAAGATGTTAACTATGCAGCCATTAAGAAATTTTAATGATATTAGATCTTTTAGGAAATTTGTAGAATCCTGAGTCAGTCTCCTAAACATTAGGGAAGTTTTTTTTTTTTTTTTACCACATGCTATTTAAACTTATTCCGACTGATTTAATGCTAGATTATAATAAATCACAAGATGTAAAATCTGGCACCACATTCAACAGACATATTCTGATAATAAACTATCTTTTGAATTATACAATCGAAAACAAGGTTCTAGATATAACTTTCTGTTGGAAAGAACTGGAATAGAAGGTAAAAGGATAATTCTTAAATTTAAAAGACCACGAGCGAATTACTCGGGAATCAAGCGTCAATTGGAGAATAAATATAGGCAAAAAAAAAAAAAAAATTATTTGTTTTGTGATTCCATAACTCATACGTCAGACAGCTGCAATGTAGTTATGTATCTTTCCTTGGAAATATCTTATTTTGTAAAGTAGCTTGCTTTAACTGTTGACGAAAAAAAAAAAAAAAAAAAAAAAACATTTATCGCGAAACTGACCCATTAGGAAAACTAAATGTAAATTATGTTCTAGACTGCATCACATTTTCTCTTTTTTGCTTCTAGCCAAAAAAAAAAAAAAAAAAAAAAAAAAAAAAAAAAAATGGAAAGAATAGAAAATATCGAATCAGTCTAACTATTCAAAGCAAGTTTTTTTTTTTTTTTTTTTTTTTTTTTTTTTTTTTTTTTTTTTTTTTTTTTTTTTTACAAACTGTTTACATTTAAAATGAAAATTCAAGGCAACTGGTGAGGACGATTTTTAAACGAAAATGACTATTTAACTATGTTTTCACTCCCCACTTTGAGTTTTACAAAGTGGGGAGTGAAAACGGCCTCCAAAATAATATATACAGTACGTATACAATTCTGTTTTCATCAGATGGCACGCGGCGTTACATTTTATGTTTCTTTATGTATTTAAATTTAATTATACATCATTTAAAATTCGCAATAAGAGTTCAAGTCTAAGAAAAAAGATATAAAACGTCGCCTGTAGTCTTATTCGATCGTCTTTTTTGTGTAGATGTATAATGTTTTGTAACTGTGCTTTTCCTATTATGCAAGTTTTATTTGAAATAAAAGTGTTTTCTTGGAATATAAATTTCAAGTAGTGTTCGATGAGATTTTCTCTAGGCAGGCTTGGGACTGATTAATTTAGAATTTTTATATAAAATTTGCATAAAAATTATATGTCGATTATCAAAATGATAATTAGAGAGCCTATTTTAATGATTTCCCTATTTTAGACGATATATTTCTTCTAAAGAAATCTTATCGGGTTATACTTACTCCTCTTCTACCGAAACGAGAAGGACATGGTTTTCCGTTTTGGAAAATCTCCTCCTTTGCCCCGCATGACGAACCTCTTGGTATGCAGACGTAAGAACAGGGATTTTCGGGATTCTGAAACAAGAATATAGTACATATTTTGAAATTTCATTTGGACTTCAATTGTTTGATTTTGTAGAGCATTAGATGCTTGAGCAGTCAACAAAGTAAAATACTTATTATGAATAGAAAATACAGTCCAACGCCGCTCTCTATAACGAATCATTTAGACTTTTGTCCATCTTTGCTTAAAGAACGAACCTTTAAAACACGCAGAAATGGTCATTTCTCTTTTCAAAAGTTCAGTTCTTACACTTGGTGGGAGCTGTAACGAAAATCTTCCGCATTAAAGGAAAGTTAAGTATTATTCGAAAAACTCAAAACGTATGAAACAAAATCAATATCTACCAGAAAAAACAGTTTATCCAAATCTGCAGTTAGTACCATATGAAACAAATCTAAATTCTATAATTTCTGCAGATGAAAAAAAATTGCATACAAGAAAAAAGCTGAGAAAGGTGGAGCACAGAGTGCTGAAAAAGCATTGCTGAAAGGGTTCGTGATTCAAAGAAACCCGTAATCTGCCAGTATTTGGAAAAATGCTTCAGACAAAGTCCAAAGACTTGGAGAATGAAAATGAATAAATAACAAATTTAATAACTGCGAGTAATAATAATTGCAATCAAATCTAAATATCACTATTTTCATTAAATTTAATATTGACTTCTTTTAGTAAGTGAGACAGTAATAATCCGTTTATTTCTTCATTCATCACCAAATTTTAGTGAGAAAATCGATTTTTCTTTTCGGATCCGGATATGAATCAAAATTCCTGTCACTTGAAGTTCGTTATAGCGGAATTCGACTGTGTATACAAGAACTTTAATGAGTCCAATAATGTAATTTCTCTGAGTCTGGCAAGTATAATTTCACAAAAGTATTTAATCCCTTTAAATGATAAACCAACCAAAAATATTAACCGAAAACTGCATTATTTGATTACACTAATTTAATCAACCTTTCAATCATAAAAATGAAGCAACAACCTGTGTTAGGCGTAAATTTTTAGCATAGGAACTTTATCGATTTCGAGAGTGAAATAAGTCTCTCTTCATTAGCAGCACAGAACTCTACAAATTTCATAGTAGATTTCTTTGCTCCTGATGAAGAGGGACTTTGTTCCCCCTCGAAATCGATAGAGTTTGTATGCTAAAAATCTACGCCTAACAGAGGTTGTTGCTTCACTTTATGCGTGTTTCTCTTCTATCTTCAATCTTTCAAATCCAATTATTTTACTTTAGATGGAGTAGTAATACAGTGAGCGATAGTGAATATTACAGTTTTCTGTACAATTTTTTAATTAATATGACAAATACTTTCAACTGGGTTCCGAAATTGCCTGGATGATGAAAATATTTTAAAGCATTTTTATTTTTCAATATACTAAATCATTTTTTTTTTTTTTTTTTTTTTTTTTTTTTTTTAACAATCAAATACGAAATGTGAAATATAGCTCAGCTTGTCTCTTTCCTTCATATCTCTCAACTATATTTGTATTATTCTTGGTAAGCTATTTTGTGTTTTCATATATATATTGGCAGTATGGATATTACCTCAAATTTCGGTTGTTTAATTTTATTTTGCTTTCGTTTTATTGAAGATTTTGATGGCAGAGACACAATGGTAGTTCTATAGCAATCATTATATGCATTATTTCTGCGGGAAAACTCCATTTTTCTTCCTCCCTATGCAACAAAATACGGCAAATCTTTCTCAGCGAACATCGAAAAAAGTCAAGAATGAAGTTAAAAGCGTTTAAAATTAGTTAAAAGATAACTTAGACATTGAAGAATTTCCGTATGAATTATTAGCACAAGTCTAGCTAGGCAAGACGATTGCTTCTAAAGTCTAGAAATTACAACATAACATCTCCAAGAATTTCCTTTTAAAAAATATACAAAGCCATTAACACTTTTTAGAAAGTATTCGATATTAATTACGTACAATATGGCATAATAAAAAATTTTGACAAATTAACCCAAAAAATCCTTTAAAATTGGAATCGGATATATCAAATATTAAATGCATATTTATTTCAATCGATCAGTAAAAAGTTTAAAAAATGTTAAGAACTGCGTTTATTGTTTCTAAATTTCTAAGTCTGCTAATCAATCACACACAGGCTGGAAATGGGAGTATTTATCTCCGCTGTTTCGCCATCATATCCTTTCCACCTTTGGACCATTTTTGCCGTCAGTGCCGATTCACAGTCAAGATATATTTTTCTTTGCTTTCCCATATTGTATCTTTATAAGCTGATACTGTATCTATTTTGTTTACCTATCGTATACCTCTGGCTGCCTTGAATTTTATAGAAAAAAGCTTTTGTTACTAAACACAGCTTCTAGAATAATTAATATGTACTAAAATAATAAATTCATTAATTATATGCGGTATTCAAATCAATAATTGAAAACATTCAAAATTAAAATGAAATATAATATAATCATAAAAATAATACATAATAATACAGCATAGTACTGAGATTAAAGATAATATGATGTAATATTCGGAATAAAAAATATAAAAATGACTTTTGTTCTTCATTATAATATAAAAACTCGATTTAAATTTTTGTTTGAAATCAAATCGCATGCAAAACTTTTGCCCTCCAACCAAAGTTATAGTATAACACCTTCTTCCGAAAATTTTCCATTTAAAGAATTCGATGTTAACGTTTATATTTCAGCAAATTCTTCACATTAAAACCTCTTCAATAATATATAAAATTATTTTGTATACAATTTTATGCAAATATATCGTTACACGTGACAAGTTAACTTATTAGATTATTTGATACTCACTTGATTTTCTAAATAACTATATGTAATTCATATCCTATATTTATAAACAAATAACTACTATATACATTATAAACAACTGTTATTACGTATTCTATTTCTATTTTACTTTGAACTGGCTGACGGCGAATCAGATGTCAGCGGATTATCCTATCGGTGAAAATGCGACGGCGTAAGTCCTAGACCCTACAGTTGGCTTGCGCGACTTTATTTGTTCTTTAAACTTTTAGTCTACATGATTGGATTTTTTTCTTTTATGTGTCATTGTATTATTTTGCGTACTGTCTATGTATGATTACGTTATGTATTGATGTATTGGACTGCTGATGTATCGTTTTTCCTAGTATCGTTTTTCCTAGTATTATTTTTAAATATTATTCCATTTTTATTATTATCGTATTATTATTAAATTGGTTTGTTTTCTTTTACAGAAGTATCAACATAGTTTAATTATTCATGGTATATTATAATATTTTTATTATAATAGTACTTGCATTTCATATTTATTCTTTGCTGTCTTCTTACTTGTTACTTGATGCCACAGAGAATGATTCACAGTTTTCCTCCTCTGTTTTGTTCTTAGATAAAGTTTGCTTTACGAGAGAAGAGGTAATCAACACGTACAATGCTCATATGTAATGGTCCGAAAATTCTCACGTCACTGTCACATCGAAAGTGTAACACAAATTCAGTATTAATATCTTGGCAGGGTTTTTCGGATGTCATATGATAGGTCTACACCTTCTGCCGAAACGCCTGAATCTCAAATTACCTTGTTTTTCTGTAACACGTTCTCTCGAATTTGATGTAGGGCACTAGTTCGCAAAGTGGGCGCCGCGGCGCCGTGGGGCACCGTGAAGTGGAGACAGGGGCGTCGCGAGGCGCTCTTGTTTACTCTTTTGCAGAATCTACATTCAAATCGCGTGCGCAGTTTAAATTGCTCGTTGCGTAGGAAACCGACAACACCACTCTTCTCCCACAGACGGACTCCGAGTTGGGTTTGTACTTCGAATTCTTTGCAAAACGACGCGAGAGATTTCCAGAACTCCACATCTGACCATCGCGTCGCGTCAACAGGAGTTGTCTCTAGCGCTCATCCCGAGCACCGCATGCTAGGTGGACCTATTACTTTACCCATAGGGAAGAACTTGCATCGAAGTTAATGAGCTGTGAATTGAATTTGGTATTGAGACGTATCATAGACATAGTGAGCTACATAAAAACTAGGCCGCTGATAGCCAAACTGTTCAAAAAACTTTGTATGAATATGAGAGCGGAACACTGCTATATTACTGCAGGTCACGATGGCTTTCGGGTAGAACTGTCTTATCCAATGCATTCGAGCTGCATCAAGTACTTCATACTTTTCTGCAAGAGAAAGGACATGTCAACTTCAGATAGTTTCCAAACCAGACGTTTTACTAAACCTGGCATACTTGTGCAATGTATTTGACAAATTAAATGCCTTAAAAGTGTACAAGGCAATAATATGCACATCTTGGAACTATTGGAGAAGATTGCGGCGTTTAGAAGAAAACTACAGTTATGGATAAGAAAAATTAATAAGGATGGCGGGCAAGATTTTTTTCCCCGAATTGCATAAATACGCGTCCTCTAATGAGCTCGTTGTCTCTCAAAATTGCTCTTTCTTTTCACGGAACACTTTACAAAGCTCATTAAATGCCTCCCAAAATACCTTGCGGAAGAAAATATCGAGAAATAGTTGGGGATCTAAAATTCTTTCCATGCTCAAGCTCCATTAAAATCCACTTCACAAGAGGAAGAGAGTCTCATCGATCTATCTCTCTTGCGACAACAGCCTTAAAACAAAATTCGCTTGCTCCGATTTGGTGGAGTTTTGGATAATCATCAAAAATTAATATCCAACTCTTTAGTTAGTTAGTATCCAACTCAACTTTCCAAAGCTTTAAGGATTCTCATTCCTTTTGCAACATCATATTTATGCGAAACCGGATTTTCAGCTATAGCTCTAATAAACAGCAAATATCGTTCAAAGATCAACGAGGAGCAAGAAAGTGAGTGAGTATGGTAGTGTTAAGTCTTTTCCCTCGCTTTGAAAACCATTGTGGAGATCAGCAAGCTTACTCGTTCAATCGATTTTTTACAATTTCCTTTAATAATGATAATATAATATACTTGTGTATCAACTCAATATATACCTACATGAGCCTCAGATTGTGGCTGTTTTCATTTCTGTGCCTGATCACTAGTATCAATATGGAGTCGTATTTAATTAAATGTTGTGATTTGCTATGACACTATGTAGTAAGTGAGTTGTAAAGCACAAACCTTGTACAGCACTTCATTGAGCACGACTAGGACGCCGTGACAAAATACTAAACCTGTAAGTGCGCGGCCAACTGAAAACGTTTGGAAACTCCTGATGTAAGAATTGTACGAACTGGAGGCTCTCTTCAGCCCACCTGGACACGAGTGACCCCATAGCTCAAAAGAAGTAGGGAATACCGGCTACTGTGGCGCTAGAACATACCGCGCTCTCCAAACCTCAATCCATTGGATTTCTTTTTCTGAGGCCACCTGAAATCGATTGCTTATCAAATACTTATAATACACTGGAGAATACACAGCACGAATCGTCGCTTCAGCAGACGTCGCTCAGCAGACACCGGGGGGGGGATATGTATGAGCAAGTCTGGCAATCCTTTATCCGTCGTTGTCGGTCATGCAATGACCTTCACGGCATTACATAGCCGATACCGACGACAGCCACTTCGAATATAAAAATGTTTCGTCGTCTCCTTTCTGATGTTGAAGTGTGATGCACTGTGATCTTGCTTTAAGCTAAATAAACTACTTGTTATTGCCCTTTTCTGGCTCAACGTTACACCATTCATAATCACTTTCGCGTTTTTCTCCCATTAAGCTTGGTTTGCGACCCCATGTTTTATGGCCATTTTTCATTTTCTTGATGCCCCTCTGAATACCAATGCAGTAAAAATTCTATCAGGTTTTCAAGGAATTTTACCAATTCGATAAATTCTACTGGTTTTACGATTCAACATAAAATTCAACTAATTCATCCAACATTGTTAGGAGAGCAAAAGAAAATGCGTAAGTTCCAGTGACTGATTATTTTGAATGGGACTGAGTTTCTTACATTTCAAACTTAACTTACAAGCATTTTCGGAAACTTTTTTAACACAGGCCTAAGTAAAAGTTCTGTAATTTTTATAACTGAAACAAAGGGTATTTTTAGGCTTACTATAGGTACTTACCAGAACTCCAAAATATCGTCTACCATACTTCGTCTGACAAATGTTACCAAGTTCCACTAGACAGTCACCTCGGTAACATCTCTGTAGAAAAATATAATATTTGTAAGAAATAATTAAATGTACATGACGCTAATAAATTTATGAGTACAGTTTCAAATATTTTCAGGTATTTTCATTAGAAATAATATGAGATAAAAATGTTAATATTGTCGAGCCCCCCTATAATAAAATCCTGGTATTTTAATTAATAAGCCTTTTGATCCTTTGCTATTTCCTACACTATTAATGTTATTTTGTACTGCTATAGCGAACTTCTAAAGGTATAAAAATCGAATATAAATAACTATATGGATATCTTCGATTAAAACTTCCTTTATATTTTTCGCCTTTTTACCCCAAAGGGCTTTGACCCTGAAGGACTATTGTTTTCGTTTTGCGATTTTGCGTGGTTCACTATAAATGTCCGTTTCACTTTTCAAACTTTTACCACCAAATTTTAGAATCCTGCATTATATCTGAAGAAATTAAATAATGAAAAATTTGCATAAATGTATGTATATTTCCCGCATTGTCATAAAACAACGTTACATAGAGCCATCGAATTTTCAATGACGTAATCTTCCTACGCATATGGGCATGTGGAAGACCAAATTTGGAATTTGTTTTATTATCGATTTCATATTTTGTAAAACTTTAAAGAATTGTAATTCACAAGCTCAAAGATTTCAAAGCGAGCAATGGCAACGTTGTACAGAAAATACGTTTTTATCTCCAGTGTGCGAGACTCTGTATCGGAAATTCTAAAGATATACTCATTTTAAAACTATTTTGCGATATTGCCGTTAAACTGAATTTTATGCTTTAAGTGCAAAGAACGTGATATTTAATAAATAAATGTAACACACAAAATGTTTAAAAAAGCCCCTTTGGACGTAATTTAAAATTTAAAACCTTTCAGATTTTTTTTTTTTTAACTTTTTCAAATTTTAAAGAAAAAATTATTAGCACCTGAAATATTCCACCTTTAGAATGTTAAAATCTCCATCCCATCCATAAAGAAAAACACTTTTGCATTACTTTTCTTTTATGTTCAACTGATAGACTAGTAGCCCATTTTTCTGATCAGTAGTTCAATTATGGCCACTCATGGCCAACTAGTAACACTTAATTAGTACCCCATTTCGCCACTAATAGTATGACAGAATACTTGAGTTCTTCTTTAAGTACAGAAAATGTATACTTGCCTTGCCTTTGCCACAAGGCGTGTAGGAATCTTCGACTTGGTAAGAAATCTGTCCATCACAGATGCAGGCATAAGAACATGCCGTGATCTAAAATTAAATTAGAAATAGTTAATAGATTTATAATCTCACTGTCAATTAACTTATTTCCTTATAGACGCTAGAGGAGGTTTTTTGGATTTTTGAGAATTAGTAACTCTACTAGGAACAAACTTAAGCCGTAAACACTGTCAAAGCTACAGTGAAGAATTATGAAATGTGTGCATAAAGCTGTATTCAACTGAAAATAAAGGAAAAAAAACTGAAATTTTTAAGAGTAAAGAATGAATAAATTTACCTGTTTGAAACCGGTCTTCGCACATTGTCGTTTGGAATATTTCCCGTCACATTTAGACACACATTCAGCAGTTACAGCTGAAAAAGGGCATTGATGTTAACAGTTAACTATTTTTATATAAAAATTTTTAAAAAATCTAATTATTTATTAAAAGTTTGCAAAAAAAGGCAAATGAAATAATAAATTTCTTCTAGGACAGGTAACTTATTTATTTGCTATCAATTTCAAAAATATAAGATAACTAATATGTTCATTACCATGAGTTTTAAAACCTTATTTTAATCCTAACCTTGAAAGAAAAATTAACTCTTTACGGTTACTCTCATTCCGAGTTCTGAAAATATGAACAAATTAACATATTTCGAAACGATCGAAGTTCAGGTATAACCAATAATGTTATGTATCTTATGAATGTCCACTTTCAGAAAAGGGTAAAGAATAAAAGCATATGAAAATTTTACTTACGAAATGCACATTTTTATCGGCAACTTATATAACTTAAAAAGTGTTAATGGTTTTAAATGTTACTGTCTCTTTGCATATCGTGTCCATAAAAGTCATTTCCCAGCGTGCAATTTGGCAACCACTAGTTGTAAACATACACTTCCAGTTATAAAAATGTTTTAACCCTTTGCGGCACAGTGTGTCCGATCTTGACATGTTTAGTTTAAAAATTTCCTTCTGTACGCCTAAAATTTCCTTCTGTACCTAAAAATTTCCTTCTGTGAGCACAGAAAACTTTAATGAAAAAGGATTTATAGGTTACTATAGGTTACTCTTAACCTTCTTTATTTATAGTAGATGGCAGCTCAACACAAACCAGTCAATATATTTTAGCCATGTTTAGTTTTTTAAGACCCTTATTTTTCAAAGAAATCTTCCAGAATTTTTAGGGTATAAAAGGAATTGTTTGAAAAGATGTTATTTTTTTGGCTGTATGCTAATCTCCTTATTCTATATTAGTTTCAAAACAACCTTGAAATCTTGCCTAAAATCAAACGGCGAACCCTTGGTGTGCCCAGACCGGGCTCCCCGATAATCTAGGATAACTGAGCACTCTATTCGAAACTCTATTCAATCAGTGTGCCACTTTGGGCACACCCACAGAATTAAAACGATAAGTGCTATCTTCACAAAATTTTACTTGTGTACTCCTCTAGGCCTAATTAGACTGCCGACCTTTTTTTTTTTTTTTTATGAAAACTCCAGCTTTAAAAGGTAGCGTGTCGGAAAGGGTTAAATGGCTCGTTTTAAAATTAAAAAAAAAATCTATTTTGTTATAATTATGAAATCTAACTTTTTAAACGCTCTCCGGGTCTCAACACTTATATTAAAAAAATTGTGTTCACACTTAAAACAAGCCTGAACTTCCGTACGACAGAAATTCACCGAGATATTTAATTTCAAAATGTGCGGTTTTTTGACGTTATTTTCAGTTTTATTTATAAGGGTCAGCTAATAAATAAAGCAGAATAATTCGAGGCAGTTTTTTCTTTTAAATAAAATTAATTCCTTCTCCTTTTAAATTTAGTGATATTATCTCATAATTTCCTAGCGTCTGTAATTTATAATTTTATTAGATTTGATATGCCACAAAATTCTCACAGAAGTAATTGAAAAGTTTTCAATGTCTAAATATACTGTTACGTTTTCTTTTCTTTTTTTTTTTTTTTTTTTTTTTTTTTTTTTTCTGACACCAGTTGTTACGTTTTTTTTCTTCCTTCACGTTCGTATGCGGTTCGTGTGGATTTGGAGTGAGTAACGACGATACTACATGATGAAATATCCAAACACACTTTATTTACTACATGATGAAATATCCAAACACACTTTATTTACTACATGATGAAATATCCAAACACACTTTTTTTAGCTAATATTAATCAGGACAGCTCCAAAGTCACTTTTTTTTGCAGTTGTTGAAGATCTACTATAAACACGCTGACACAATCAGCACAGCTTTCAGGTTATCAAGCTATCACGGTGGAGACAGCTTTACTGCAAGCACCAGAGTACAGCTCCCGACTCTGCTCGGTCATTCTCGGAACTCCACGTACTCTCGAGACTCTCCACGCTACAACTCGAGATGCACGAGATTAGGAATCTTATGGTATGATATGGGTCGATGTGGAACACTTATGCATGACGTTACCTTCAAAACCCTGTCTCGTCCTTAAATTTTAAACACTTGCCTACTAGTCTTAGTTGCTTGATATTTAAAAATAAGTTTATGTATCAGTATTTTACCTGAAATTTTAATGTTCTCTCAGCTCACAGAACTTGCCGTAAAAGTTGAAGCTCCACTTGGTGTATAAGGTATTTCTCCTTCCTTTTTAGAATGCCTTTGTGGTGTAATGGTCAGCATGCTCGGCACGTATTCGAGAGGTCTGAGGTTCGAGTCTCGGCGAGGGCATTGCACATTTTTCATGTACCCCGTATCAAAATCACCTGATATCTCTACATTGCCGTCCGAACTAAAAAAGGTGGTGGATGATGATTCTTCATCGGGATTTGGCGATTGGATTTTCTAATCCCTAATCGCCCTTTATAAGGGGGAGTATATAAGGTATTTCTCCCGCCTCTTTAGCATGTCTTCGTGGTGTAATGGTCAGCACGCTCAGCGCGTGTTCGAGAGGTCTGAGGTTCGAGTCCTGGAGAGGGCACTGCACATTTTTCATGTCTCCCGTAACAAAATAACTTAATATCTCTACAGGTTCAAATTTAATTAAATTAAAATTTTAGCCTTCCTTTTCTCCTTTCGTGATTTTTATCCATATACATAGAAGTGAACAATTACTATGATGTGACAAACTTTACATAGCTCTTTTATTCGTAAAGGCATTTCTACTGTACGTAATAAATCTAAATATAAAATGATCTTTAATGCCTCGGATAACTTTATTTGAATAATTTTTTTAAAAAATCCAAATTTTATTCATATCTTTACATTCAAATTTGAGTTCTTACAGGCATTTTTAAACAAACGCAATGTAAAGCTTCTTTAGAACCAATGTTATGATAAAATATAATTCTAAGTACCACGGATGTTTATACCTTTAGAACGATTTCGATAAAGAATTGAAAAAAAGCAAATGTTTTGGAATAAAAAGTTCTGACAAAAACTCACTATCTGAAATGAGAAATATCGTCTATTAAATTAATTCTTCTTTGAAAATGTACCACGTAAACACACTTTGGATTGAAGAATACGTTTTTGAGCTTTTCGAAGAGAAATATTCTTATTCCATAATTCAGAAACGTTATCAAATGCATGGTTATTAAATTTATTATTTAAGTACAAAATAAGCAAACATTTGAAAAACTACAAAAAAAAAGTTAATCATTACTTCTACATGGTAAGAAGACTCCAAACAACTACCCGAAAAGGGTACGTACTGTTTCTAACGCATTAAAGTAAAATCATTGATAATAACAGAAAATCCTCTGATGCTGAAAACAATTATAAAGTCTTTAAATGCATCTGTAACATCAATAGATAAAATAATAAACCAAAATTTACAACTTAAAATTGCTGAAAAATATAATGTTCCCCAGCTTTTGCCGAGGTATGTAGGCCAACGTAGAACAATTTGTAGAACTTTGTATGAAAACTATTTAGCAGGAGATAAATGGAAATATATTGTGACCCTCGATGGAGCATGCATTTACCTAAATGACAGCAACAAAAAAGAGGTCAGTTTATTATCGAAGACGAAGTGGAAAAAATTTATAAACTTGAATTCGGTCGTCATGCAAAAAATGTTTCGGTGAGGGTTCTATGATTGTTGTAGGGTTCTCTTGCAATGGGAAATTAAAAATAGGAAGAGTGAGAAAAAATGTTAAAATCAATTATATACAGAAGAAATTATATTTCTTTACCCCGGTGACTTTCAAAGAGATCATCTACCGGGTGTCTTTACCCCGGTGACATCATCAAGAGAAAGCATTAAGTCATACTTTGAAACGTATCACTGCATTCCTTAAAAAAAAGGAAGACTGATACAGATATTGCATGTGTACTTTTTTAATGTATTCTGACTAAATCCCTTGACGTTACACCTACGGATTATTGTGCCTCTGGTCTATTGAAAAGGGCTATATCTAAGAACAAACTCACCACGATTGATGGACATTGGAAAGTAATGGAAGAATAAAAAATCAGTACCCCTGGATATTTTACGATAAACCTTTCTATCATGGAAATAGAGATGCAGATTTATAGTCAAAATGGCTATTAGATCGAGCATTTAAAAAAATATTTTCTCTTTACATTTTAAACATTATTTAAAAGGCCCTGGAATTAGTTAAAAGGCCCTGAAATCGTTCTAAAATTGTATAAACACCCTCTGTAGTTTCATTGAAGTTTAATTTCATAAGGATGCTAAATAACTTCAGTAATAAACCAAAAGGTTTCTTTATTTTGCTTTATTACGCTCATTTTTTCCAATGATACGGGCCAACGAGTTTTAACTTTAGATGCAACAGAAATTAGACAATGAACTGTCACGAGTTTTGCAACTCATCGTTCAATTTCTTTAACTTGACAACTAAAGTATGCTCGATTGGAAGTGGAGTGAAGAAAAGTATTTTAAAGCATTTTATTTTACAATGCCTTAGGCCATCTTATTATTTAATTATTAAATATGGAATATGAAGTATCAGTCAGGAAAATTTTTTTCCATCAGGACTTCTTGGTTATATTTATATTATTTCTGGCATACTATTCTGTATTTCAGTATATATCGACAATACTTATTTTGCCTCAGATATCAATTGCTTCATTTTATTTTGCTTTCTTTTTATTGTAAAATATGAAGTTAGGTAACAAGGGTAATTCTTCTTTAAGCAAACAGTAATATATTACATAAAGGTTCCTTTTTACCTATGCAACGAAGCTAAGCGATTTACTATCAGAAACACGAAAAAAGTCCAGAATGAGCTTAAAGAGATATTATCACAAAATGTAGGATAGATTGGATTCAGTAAACATGGCGAATTTTAGTTCTGAATTTCGAAACTAAAGAATTTGAGTACAAATTATGAGTCCAGCTAGGGAAGAAAATTACATCCAAAGTTTTTAAATTACAATATAAGAAATAATACAAAACTCTGACTTATAAATATATAAAGGGCTATAAAAAAGAATCCTGTATCAGTTACGCACTATAGCACTATAGGGCATTCGAAAAATCTTTAACAAATTACATACAGCCAAAAAAAAGAAAGGAAAAAAAGAAGCTCCCACAAATAATCATAAAAAAATTATTAATTAAAGATGCATTAAAAAATTTTGGAATATTGTTAAATTTTCATTTATTGCTTTTATAAAAGCATGTATACATCGATAGACGATGTATACATCGTTTAGTTCCTAATCAATAACAGACAGATAAAATTTGAATGTTTATACCTTACACTTTGCCGAATGGCAACACATTGGCATGTGGAATATAGGAGTATCTTATTTCAAATAGTAACAATACACTGTTTTTAAACAACAGAGTGGGTTGATTGAATTTGAAAGATAAATCGATTGGCAACACACTGAAGCGCGGATAGTAAAAGGGTTTTACTTCGAGCTATGGCAGCCCATTACTTTTAAACAATGAAGTTTATTTAACGAAAATTGATTAAATTCGAACAAAATATGAAATACATAAAAAGCAAATTCGAAATTCAAAATTCGTTCTTCTAGGTGCAGATGTTCGGATAAACGAGAATATACATTAAAAACTGGGTGGCTCAAGGTGCTGCCATTTTTCCACAGTGCGAGGATACAAAGATATTCATACTTATATACGAAGCTACGCATAGATTATTTATTATTTAATAATAGAGACGAGAATATGCTAGGCGTTGGCAACTTATGTCCAGCGGGTCATAGAGTGATCCATTTTATAATTTCAAGTGATCCACTTGAGTCCCGAAAATAAGATATGATGTATAAAACATAAATATGAAACGAGCGCTTGAAGAATAATTAAGAAAAATAAAATAATAATAATAATAATATTTTTGTTTGATTACAAAATCGCAGTAACGAACATGCATTTTATTTTTTAAAAATCTGGTATGGACACCACATGATTTCCTTTTATGCCTACATTAAATTATGCACATTTTTTGCTGAGCTTCATTTAGACGTATTTCGTTTGAAAGTGAGATACGATCTTCCAATTCAAAGTGCCCTTTCGGCTCTTCCGATTGCAATAAAAAAGAGGGTGGACACAATTAGATATTATAGCAGTCCAATATACAAAATTTCAACATTCTAGGGCTAATTGGAGTTATGCGAGATAGACACGTATGTACATTCATACGTATATATAGATTTCATGCCAAAAGAAATTAAAAGTCCCAAATACAAAATTTCAACATGTTTTGGCGAGCCGTTTTTCAGTTATGGGGCACACGTACGTATAAACGTCGCGACGAATCGAGTCAAATCCAACGGATTACAATTCCAACGGATTTTTGAAATTGCAATACTTCCTTTACTTCGTAAATAATAAAAATTGTAGCAGAATTTCAAAGAGAAATCTATAAGTTTGTTGAATACTTGATCCATAATTCAAAAAAATTGCCTTTGCCATTTTGTCCGCATTCGGCTCAACTTCTAAATGCGAACAAATAGTTTCGCAGAGGAAATTTATTTTAAGTAAGAACAGGAGCAAATTAACTACCGAATTTTCAGATGCTTTTATTCGTCTTAAGACGACTAACTATATTGATTAAACTGACGTCCCAATTTCAGCATCAGGAGAGCCATTGATACCGAAAAGAGAAAAGAGAAGTTCATTCTATTATATTTGTTTTTATAATCATATTTATAATTTTTATGTTTAAAGTTTAAAGCATATTGTAATTATTTTCTCAATAAAATTTATGTTATTATTCACCAAGAGAGACTGTTCTAAACTAAAAATGCCACTGACCAAAATATCTTCTAAATACACAGATTTTGATTGATTTCGGCCCGCAGCTAAAAACGATTGCTGAAGCCTACAATACTTTGTATAGCATTAAAATAGTCTAATGTATAACCTCAAAACTAGTAACAAGATATGCTCATATATATAGGCAAAAACCTAACAAAGAAACGGGATTGAAGATCTAGAAATGCACAGAACAGTGTGCACTGAAATATCTGAGGCATTATGTGAAGTATCTTACATTAGAAAGGATGTTTGTGCCATGGACCCATCTGATCAATGTTAACGTTTACTGAGAGTTAAGTCTTGTTATATTTCCTTTACTTTCTTGTAGAAAGTAAAGGAAATATTGTAATCGTGAAACTTCATGGGTATCATATTTCAACGAAAATATGTATTTTCTGCTCTCGAATCCATTTGGACGATGTTTTTGTGTGACATCTGTACGTATGGACAAAATAAAGGACACCTTTTCCCAAAACGGATTGTAAAATGAATTTAAAATGGATTCAGAATAGATTTTTTTTCGTAGCGTCTGTACGTACGTACGTATGCCCCTCCCATAATTCAAAAACGAGTAGCCGTAGATCGTTGGAATTCTGTATGTGCGACTGCTATAACATTTAGTTGCGCACTTCCCTCGTTCGCTGCAACCGGACGCACCAAACATATGTAGCCATTAAGGTTTTTAATGCCTTTACTTAATCTGCATGCAATAGTTGTAGAATTATCAACAATTTAAAAGTTTAAGCGTTAAAGTTAACGAGGCAGCCATTTGTTTACATTTGAAACTCTTAGTAGAATAGTGAATTACGTGAGTCGGTGCAGCTATTTCAGTGTTTTTTTGCCCAGTGTGACTAAAAGTTAACTTTCAATTTCGTGCAAGTAAAATTTTATTTTCGTACCCCCTGGCCGTATTGCTTGTTTTTGTGTAGAAATAATTTTGATCGTAATTTTTTTTTTTTTTTTTTTTTTTTACTATTTTTAACTGTATTTGGTATTTTAGGTTCTTTTTGGGGGGGGTTAAATTTTTAATGAAGATTGAGTTTTTATGTATTTTTGCCTTGCCGCGAAGTGAGAACTGAATTGATTGAATTAGAAATATATGTGTAATGAAATTCGAGAAAATAAATTAAATGAAAAAACGTGCAAAAAAAAAAAGCACAGCAAAAAAAAAAAAAAAAAAAACTTGTATAATTTAATAGTCCGTACAAGGTGTCCGCACGTGGTGTCCACACGAGATTTCTTGTATAATTTAATAGTCCGTACAAGGTGTCCACACGAGATTTTTTATATTCGCTATACTATTTATATTTGGGATCCAAACTGACGAAGGGCCCACCAGTGGCCGAGCGGTAAAGTCGTTGAACACTGGTATTTCAGTCCGAGGTTCGAATCCCGCGAACGGGCTGGCTACATGGGAGTTTTCGTACTTTTCCTCATGTGTAACGCTTTCAGTTTCCTTTAGAAAGTCCTCCACAAAGGTATCCCTCCCCTTAGGCAAATAGCCCTCGAGGCTTTGCCGTAATCACACACACCAAACTGATGAAAGCACCCAAGTGATTTGCTTCAGACATCTTCCCTTGTAAAAGTTGTTACTAGTTTGAGTTGTGAAACAGGATTTAAATTTTGATTTAATTATTTAGATCTGGCGCGCTTATTCACAAAGCTTATACGAACTGTTAGCATACAAATATACTAATTCAGTATCTGAAATCACTGGAAAATGCCAAAATGTTTTATTTATTTATTCTTTGTTTTGAAGCTGTGGATGGCAACGCTTTGCAATGCAATTCAAAATGGAATTCTAAGTTTTAAAGCTTTTATTTTGTAAAACAGATAAGATGTTATTTTTATATATTTAAAATTGTGAATTTCAAGATTCCAGTAATACAACTCATAGGCTGTTATAAACCTTATTATTATGATCTAATTTTAGGATTTGCATTCTATGAACTGTTTTGATATTAGTTTTATGTTATTATGAGATGAATTAGTTTTAAGGCATGGATTGCCTGCTTTAATTATTGTTTATCTTAGTTATTATACATTGTTATTACTTTAATCATTACTCTTAGCGTTAGCAGCGACATCAGCACCTTGGTTAATATAATTCAGAAAGACGAAGAAACAAGAACTGTGAAGAGAAAAAAATGTATGTAGCGCGTAGAAATGTAGCCGCGGTTGGCGGTATTCCACAAATAATAATTATGTTTTCTAATAAAAAGAAACTCTCGGAAAAAGAACTCAATAATACATTTTACTTAAATGTCTTGCTTCTTGTGTTTTTGTTATTGCTGTTGTTGTTGTTGCTATTCTGAACTACTAAAAAATAATAATGTAACCTCGACACTGACTGAGATAATAAAAATATTACGAACATAAAAAAAGACTACATTTAAAAATATATGTGCGTTCGTAAGAAAATGAATATAAATTGACATTTCGATCTTAAACTACTGCAGACGCACTCATTTGATCAAAATTTAGAAGTAGTGTTTTCGAAAATGAGAGTAATCAAAAACAATCTGAGAGAGATCATTGAATATGCAAGAAATTTTAGTTCTTTCTCCGCGCTAGATCGGTTCATATCAACACTGAGTAGTCAGTAAATTTTTTTAATTCTCTCCATGCGCTCGGCAAGAGTTAACATCAAACGAGAGTTAACACATTAAAAAATTATTCGAAACAGATTATTGGGGAATAAAAACAAGGGTTAAACATTGTATGTAAACAAGGTTCCGTCGTTTGGTTATTTTAATTTAAAGCATTATTCAGTTCTTTAGAGAATTTGGAGCTTACTAGTGACAAAGGACCCTAAAATTAGCTTACCTTTCGTGGCATCAATGAGAAATATCAAGAACAGAATTCCTCCGAGTAAAAATTTAGTTCTCACCATAGTTGTACTAGTGAAGTGAATGCATTTTATGTTTAGGATTATTCATCTTTTATATAGTTGGGAAAGAATTCCATAGTGGACTGAGTGAACAGGTGGAAAACAAAGTCTTTACTTTAAAGACATCACAGTCACGATATAAAGAGCAATAAATTCCAACTAATGATGCTTTAAAATTTTATAGCTAAAATATTTCTCACCTGAAGAATTTTATGTTGCAGAAATATACGTTTTCGCAAATTGTCGGTGATGAAAATATCATTCCTGATGTCTTACGAACATTATGGAAATTAATATTAAAACCTCAGAGTCATTGAACTAAGAATAAGTTAAATGAATAAACATAAATTAAATGAAATGCGTCGTGATTTAACCTTTGTTCAAGTTTTCATTCAAATAAAATTTAAAAAAAAACACGTTTCGTTTTAATAAAATTTGGAAAAAAAATATAGATTTTCTTAAAGTTAAGCAAAAACAACCTGTGTGTGGCAGATTTTAATCAGGGCTCTTTGCAAGTCCCTCTTCATCAGAAGCAAAGAAATCTGCAATGCGGGGAAAGCCATGACTATATTTATATCCAAAAGGAGTAAATAAAACGAGAACATACCGTCATTTGGAGGTAGAAATAGTAACGAAAATTGAAACCAAACAAGATAAATATTTGTGAATATGAAAAGCCTCAACAAAATCCAATCCGCCAATGGAAAGAAGTTTTCTGGATATTTTTTTCCTGCCCAAGTCAAAATTGTGATTAAATTTCCAGCATCATTATCTATCGATGATTTGTTAATTTCTCCTTTTCGAACATAAGATTCGTATTCGTTGATGGTAAACTTTAAAGTACTTTTATTTTGATCGATATATCTCAAATCACACTGACAGGATGTGCTATACATACCTCAAGAGTAAAGCCAGCTATGGAATGTTTAGAATCCAACCATGGATTTTACTGATAGACCAGAACAATATTTGAAAATTGAGCTTCTGGAAAATCCGTGCAATTTTTAGCTGATAAAAAGATGAAATGGGAGCACAACAGGGTTATTAAAGTTCTTACTAACAGCTGAATGCCTTTTTTGATGGCAAGATGAAAATGTTTGAAGACTTATCAATGATAAACGGAGAAAATCCTCGGTCAATGGCAACTGATCTTAAATAATTGAGTTCTTTAGTAAGCAAAGATTTTGAAGAACAACAAACCGACGGGGACAAAATATATAATAGTGAAAAGAAACAATATTTCTGTTTAACCAGGTGATGCATGGAGAATCCCCCCAAAAAAATTTAAAAAAAAAAATAAATAAAAAAAACAGAAAAGTGTTTACAGTAAACAGTAGTGGAGAAAGCAGATTCATTGCGGATTATAAGAATATCAAGGAAGGGAAGGTTACTGTCAGATTTAGTTCCAGGAGTAAACTGGATGGTTGGATCAATCGAATTTATAACAAATAAAATCTAGGCTAGATCTCCTTCATTACAATGAAAAAGCACGAAAGTATCATCTATGTAGAAAATCCAGATATGGAAAATTACTTTCTCAAATAATATGTCCTTGTGACCTCTTGACATGTTGTTTTCTTAGCCTTGCGGATCGTACAGCCACGTTACGTACCCTCAGCAAGGAACTTGATTTATGGGCAGAACGACAAATATCCGCATAAATAATGCGATGACGTCTGTAGCACCGCGGACTGTCAACACAGAGATTATTGCTTGCGCTTAATATGACTCTGCAATGTAGACAAGTACCCCTGCAGTGGTACGACTAATAATGACAATGGACACAGGAGTGGTACCATATCGTCTTTTCAGATTAATCTTAGTTCTAAGTATAACATCGCAATAGAAGTATCATGTAGGGAGGCACCGGAGAAATCAAAGATTGCCAGCTTGCATTCATCATCGTCATACGGGTCCAGCACCTGGTGTGCTGCATGGGGTCACCTCATTTTAGCTTAGCCAGTATTTCGGAATCCACCGTTACATTTCTTACGTGTTAAGGCCCATAGGTGTGCCCTATCTTTGAGGCCTGCATGAAGCTATCTTTTTCAACTAGGTAATTCATAATGTTGCTCGTGCTATCCTGACCGTCCTCGATACAGTATGTTCGACTGTTCCCTTGCCAGCAAGTTTCCCAGATCTATCACTTATTGAGAATCTATTGAGAACATCTGGACATGGGCTGCCAAGAGACTTGCACGCAGTTACTCACCAGCTACTACGATTAATGAGCACTGGCATGAAGTTGAATTCGCTTGGAATGAAGTACCCAGAATCTGTTATCCAAGCGCAGTTCGATTTGATGTCTAGTCGATTACAGCCGTTGTTATTGCCAGAGGTGGCAGTTCTGTATACTAGATTCTGCAGGCTATGTACCCCAGATCATCTGAAAATTTAATAAGTGTAGACATGTTACTATGCTGTGCATGTTCAATAAATAAGATTTTGCCATATGCTTTCCTTCCTAGTGAAGTGATTTTAATAGCCCAACAGTGTTTATTGTATATATTTCAGTATTTACACGAGAATCCTCCTTAACTGGGAATGATGGACACAGTTAACCCAAAGTAAAATTCTGGTTAATCTTAGAGTAGTTAAAAAAGTACAATAACCCATATTTAATTAGCAGAGAATATTTCTTAAATTCGCTTATGTTTTAAGCAGTTTAATTTGCAGAATAAATTTATTTGGATATGTAAATTAAATGAACATTCTAAACAAGAGCACACATCATAACCGAAGGACAATGTTTTTTATATTACTCTGATATTACTCTGATATACCGATAAAGTAAACGAGAAACAGAAGATTAATAACTATACACTTAAATTATTTTGCGACTTATAATAATTACTATCATTTATACAATTTATAGTACACACACTGGCCAATGAATTCGAAAACCAAGATCAATATTTTATTGGACCACCTTTAGCACAGATAACTGCTCTGATTCTTTTGGACATCGAGTCTACATGCTTCTGGAGTGCATTTACAGCTAGAGAATAACATGCATTAGTTATGCAACTCTTTAGATTTTGTAAATTAGATGAAAAAGACGCGCTGTCAAATTCGTCTTTCCAATATATCCTATACATTTTCTATGGGGTTAAGATCCGGGCTATGCGGCGGCCAGGGAAGTCAGACTGATATTTGGCGAACCAATTTTGAACACTTCTGGAGCGATGTATAGTTGCATTATCGTCTATGAAATATCCGTCACCATCAGTGTAAAAATGCAACATTGCAGGGTGCATGTGATCTGCAAGTATATCTCTCATGGCTGATTGTTTACCCTAGAGAAACACCAGGGCATACTTCTATGACAGCAGAACATGCCCCATATCATGATACTCCCACCAGACCCTTGCACAGTGCGAGTAAGGCAACATAGATTCACGGCTTCATGGGGGTTCTGGTCGAATTCGACGTCTTCCGTCAGTGCAAAATAAGATGTAACATGATTCATCTGGCTACATTACCCGTTTTCATTCCTCAAATGCCAAGCGTCTTCTTTCCTGACACCACTGCAAACGAATTTTGCATGTCGGGCAGAAATGAGTGCTTTCTCTCACAGGCACCCGACTATGCGTTCCTATCCTCTGCAATTCTTTGAGCATGGTTCGAGCTAAAATTTGTTGGGAAGAACCTTGGTTGACTATCTGTGTTAGCTGAAGCACAGTAGAGTCCTTGTTCTGCCGTACAATTCGTCGAAGATGACGCCAATTAGTCTCTTGTGCTTGAACCGCAGTTACGTCATCTAGAGAAGGACTGTGGGTTCTAATTCCAACTTTTTAAAACCTTTGATATGACTGCTTTTGAGAACCCAGTGAGATTTGCTGTCTTCGAAATAGAGGGTCCTGCTAAACGGGCACCAATAATAAGCTCTGCTTCAAATGGTGAAAGATCTGTCGTTTTTCACATTTTACTTCATTCATCGTGAAGAACACTCTTACACCTTACTTATACTGGCATTTTAACCTCGTGTAACCCCCGTCATAAAAAAAAATTTGCATGCTTCATCCCTAACACGCATTCAAATGATAATCGTAGAGATTTCTAATTCAATGGTCCGTGTGTGTATGTAAAGAATGATTTACCAACACACACCGTATCTATGAATTTCCTACACGCTCTTTATTTTTGCAGCCGTTGGTCATAGACATGTACTTTCAGTTATAAAAATGTTTTAAATGTCGAAAATATTTATATTTTGGTATTTTTAAATTTAAAAGAAAATTCAGTACTATAAAAATTGCAAAGTCTGTCATTTTATACTGTTCTCCGGTCCCTATACTTATATTTAGGACTCTTACATAGTCATTAGAAGAAATGAAACGCAAAATAGACTCCCGTAAAAGAAAAACTAATCGAGGTATTTAACTTGTAGAGTCTTACCTCCTTATGAAGCATAAACTAAATCGAGAGTCAAGCTGGATTCTAAAGGACTTCGCTATGTCCAGTAAAAAGACAGAGAACGCAAGAAGGATATAAAAGACTCTTTTATTAAGAACTGAATTTATTTAACAGAAGGCACTTCTTGTGCTTACAAAATCAGCCAATACTTATTGCATAACTCAAACTGATAGGACCTCAAATTTAAATCGCAAGTTAGCCAAAGGCTACGCAGAATTCATAAAGGCGCAGGTTGACTTAAACCTATACCGGCGTGACAAGCACTATTGGCAAGAATAAAACGCAAAGCCGAAGATAAACTGCTTATGCTACTACTAGTAACATGGCCTTCAACAGACACTCTGTGATTCAGAAGTCTAATAACTTCTGATTACGTTTTCATACATATTGAAGTTAAACGTTTAATCAAAACACGCTCTGATTAAACAACGTAAAAGTTCCTTTAGATACTATTTCATTATACCTCATCTGAATACGAGCGAATTAAAAATTTGTATCCTGACAGAAAACGAAACGGGAGAAATACAATAAAGGTACTTATACAGCTATATCTTAATTCTAATCTTACAGCTCTATCAACCAGTTTTCTTCAATTTTCATTCAC